AGTGGTTCAACAGGTGAGTCTGTGAGTCAGTGGTTCAACAGGTGAGTCTGCACACGTTACCTTGAAGGCCATGAACTTGTGGTAAGGTTTAGGAGCCCAGGCGTAGACCTCCACAGCAGTCTTCAAAGCTATGACCAGGAACCTTATCTTTTCATAACGCACTGTGGACAGACAGACAGTCAGACAGACAGTCCGTCAGTCAGAACGACAGCCAGTCAGACAGTCAGGCAGACAGTCAGCCAGTCAGACAGACAGTCAGTCAGTCAGATAGACAGACAGACAGACAGGCAGACAGTCAGCCAGTCAGTCAGCCAGACATTCAGTCAGACAGACAGACAGCCGGTCAGACAGACAGTCCGTCAGTCAGAACGACAGCCAGTCAGACAGACAGACAGGCAGACAGTCAGCCAGACAGACAGACAGCCGGTCAGACAGACAGTCCGTCAGTCAGAACGACAGCCAGTCAGACAGACAGTCCGTCAGTCAGTCAGTCAGATAGACAGATAGACAGTCAGACAGTCAGGCAGACAGACAGTCAGCCAGTCAGTCAGCCAGACATTCAGTCAGACAGACAGTCAGAGAGTCAGACAGACAGACAGCCGGTCAGACAGACAGTCCGTCAGTCAGAACGACAGCCAGTCAGACAGACAGACAGCCGGTCAGACAGACAGTCAGACAGACAGCCAGTCAGTCAGTCAGCCAGTCAGACAGTCAGACAGGCAGTCAGACAGACAGCCAGTCAGACAGACAGTCCGTCAGTCAGTCAGTCAAACAGTCAGTCAGTCAGTCAAACAGTCAGTCAGTCAGCCAGTCAGTCAGTCAGCCAGACATTCAGTCAGACAGACACACAGTCATTCTGAAAGACAGACAGTCAGTATTAACATGTGTGTGTACTCACCCACTTTGTAGTGGACACACCCCTCCAGGTCACCGACGGAGGTCCAGCCCTGTCTCTTCTCCACCTCTGGATCATTGTGGAGGATTTTGTTCCTCAGCCACGACAGGTAGTAGAGACGCAGCTTGTTCTTCTTACCTGGAGACGGAGGAGAAGAACCAGAGCTGAGGTAGAGTGAGGTACGGTGAAGTACGGTGAAGTACGGTGAAGTACGGTGAAGTACAGTGAAGTACAGTGAAGTACAGTGAAGTACGGTGGGTAAAAACCTGAGATGGTGATGAGAACGTTCAGTCCCTCCAGAACATCCATCTGCTGGAACCGTCTTCTGCTGATCAGAGGGTAAACCTTGCCCTGACCGCTGCGGTCCAGCAGCCACAGACCGTTCTCTGTCCCCACCAGCAGATTTACACCTGGACAGACAGAAGTACTACTGTGTCAAGTACACAGAGAACTACAGCTGCTGTAGTTCTCTGTGGTATTTAAATATATGTGTAAAGAGTTCTGATCCAGCCTGAACAGGAAGTACGGGAAGGACAGGAAGTAGAGGAAGTACAGGAAGTAGAGGAAGTACAGGAAGTACAGGAAGTACAGGAAGGACAGGAAGTACAGGAAGTACAGGAAGTAGAGGAAGTACAGGAAGTACAGGAAGTACAGGAAGCACAGGAAGTACAGGAAGTACAGGAAGTACACACCCCAGAGTCCAGCACACAGAACCTCTGTGTTGAACTTCTTCTTGTACTTGCGGATCTCCGGAGTGTCGCTCTGCGGTCGGATGTTGGTCGGGTTCACGTTGACCACAGAACCCTTCCTGTGGTTCTCCCGTCTGATTGGCTCGTCCTTACTGCCTGCTGATGAGGAGACACAGACCGACGTCAACGCCTCCGTCGGCCCACTGTAGTGTTTCTAACAGCGTGTACTGCAGTACTCACTGGGGCTCTGAGGGGGGGGCGATACCGGGATTAGCCTTGGATCGATAAAGGACAAGGAGAAGAAGGAGGAGGAGGAGGAGGAGGAGGAGGAGGTGTTCTTCCCAGTGGGGCTGTAGACAGACTGACAGGTTGAACAGACAGTTATTCAACCGTCTTTTCTTGAAATAAATGTAATGATGAAAACATTCTTTCAGTTCTGCTGCTGCACGTCTATCTTTCACCTAAAGGGGGCCCAAACCCCCTGTACGGGGGCCACATCAGGTCAGGGAACCTCACCAACATCTGGCCTGTTTCTAGATGTCAATAATAATTTGTTTTTTCCACTAAGATCAATTTGAGTTTTTGTTGATTCTCAGTTTTTTCTTAATGAGGAAATATATTTGTATATCTGTCAGTTTTACACAACGTCTTCATCATCGATCATCAAACACTGACCTGAGCCTCCAATCACAGCACGGGGGCAGCAGCTGCCAACGGCTCATTTGACAGTTGGAGACCATAGACTTGAACTGTGCTTCTATCTCCCTCTAGTGGTGAAATGCTGGAACATGCTTATGTGAGTGAAGAGATTTTTTCTTTTTACCAGGTTCGCGTTTATTTCCTGATGTGAAGGCGACCGAGGAGCCGTAGGTGACCGTGAGTAGCTGAGGTCACGTGACTGCTGCGGCGGGCTGACTGCGTTACAGTTAGGACTGGAGAAGGAGGTTTTCTGCAGGAGGTCTGGCAGCAGGTAGGTGGCGTCAGAACCCACTCCAGGAGACTTTTCAACACAAAGGCACAACATTTGAAATTCACCCAGAAAACATTTGTGTATTTGACTGATCTTTACACAGCACCAACAAATACTAACTGTAATAGTAATACTAATACTTTACTTGATTACTTTAGGTCCAATATTCAATATAGATGAAATACAGAGTAGGACAACAGACTCTGCTGCTGTGTGTGTGTGTGTGTGTGTGTGTACCTGCAGGACGACACCCTCACTTTTCTTCACGTAGTTTTTTCCTCTTCCATTAAACAGAACTGACCTTGAAACACAGACAGGAGTTTGGGATTTAAACCGTCAACCAGACTTCATTAAATATGAATGACATCAAATCTACCTCTGGATCAATAAGAGCTAAACCAATGCTGCTTGACTTCCTGGAACCAGCAGGTGGCCCCACAGAGAAATAATGTGAAAACATTTGACAGGATAACACTTTCATACAGTTAGCCTCAGATCATGCCAGATTAAATAACCTGACCCAGTTAACCTCAGATTATACCAGATTATATAACCTGACCCAGTTAGCCTCAGATTATACCAGATTAAATAACCTGACCCAGTTAACCTCAGATTATACCAGATTATATAATCTGACCCAGTTAACCTCAGATTATACCAGATTATATAATCTGACCCAGTTAGCCTCAGATTATACCAGATTATATAATTTGACCCAGTTAGCCCCAGATTATACCAGATTATATAATTTGACCCAGTTAGCCCCAGATTATACCAGATTATATAATCTGACCCAGTTAGCCCCAGATTATACAATCTGACCCAGTTAGCTTCATATTATACCAGATTATATAATAATTTGACCCAGTTAGCCCCAGATTATACAATCTGACCCAGTTAGCCTCATATTATACCAGATTATATAATCTGACCCAGTTAGCCCCAGATTATACCAGATTATATAACCTGACCCAGTTAGCCTCATATTATACCAGATTATATAATCTGACCCAGTTAGCCTCAGATTATACCAGATTATATAATCTGACCCAGTTAGCCCCAGATTATACCAGATTATATAACCTGCCCCAGTTAGCCTCATATTATACCAGATTATATAATCTGACCCAGTTAGCCTCAGATTATACCAGATTATATAATCTGACCCAGTTAGCCCCAGATTATACCAGATTATATAACCTGACCCAGTTAGCCTCATATTATACCAGATTATATAATCTGACCCAGTTAGCCTCAGATTATACCAGATTATATAATCTGACCTAGTCAGGGCAGAGGGTGAATCTCCTCACACCAACTTTACCATCACATCACTGGGTTCTCAGACATGTGGCCCACTGGGCAGGGGTGGGCCACTGGTACTGGTCCACTGACTCTGGACCAGTTCTAAGGTGAACGTCTCACCTGTTCCTCTCTTCGTCGTCGCTGCTCCCGCCCTCGTCACTGGAGGAGGAGTATTCTGTGGCCTTGTTCATCCGACCCACAGCGTATCTGACCTGTACCAGGTGACAAACCAGCAGTGAACTATGAGCTCTTCTGTGGACTAGGTTCAACACTGAGGTGATGAAGATGAAGATGAAGAGGATCAAGTGTTCATCACAGATTCTTTCACACTGATCAAACATGGATTTGACCTTTGACCTTAGATCTTCATAATGTGTGTCGTTATTTACCATCAGTGATCAGAACTGTAACATCACACACCTGTACACACTACAGGTGTGTACCTGTACACACACCAGTACACACACACACACACACACACACATCTGTTCAGTCACTCTGAGAAGATTAGATTTTTTAAATTTTAAATTTGATTTGAACTGATTATGGAGAACTGACCTGTTGGTGTCGCTGATGATCCAGAAGAGGACTCTCCAGCTTAAAGTAACCTGCACACACACACACACACACACACAAAGGTGAGTTGACAGGTGACCAAACAGCTGTGATGGGGGGGGGGGGGGGGGTCCCCCCCCCCCACACCTGGGAGACGGTGGCTGCTGCTGCTGGAGGAGGAGACGTGGGACGACGACCTTCCACCTTTATCTGCTACAACCACTGAACTGCCACTAGATGGAGACACACACAGTTACACACGCACGCTGCCTGACAAATGAAACTGGAATCAAGTGAAGCAGATGGTTCTCCAAATCTGAACTCGACACCAAACAGCGTGGATTGGTTTGAGCCAATCAGAGGGAACGGTGTCTTCTTTTTCTTTCGGCTTTGTCCCTTTTTTTTCAGGAGTTGCTACATCAAATCATTGATTTCCATCTGTCCCTGTTCTCTTCACCGTCTCCTCCTCTGACTCCAACTGTCTGCATGTCCTCCCTCACTGCATCCATAGATCTCCTCTTTGGCCTCCCCTCTTTGCAAAACCTACCACTGCCTGTCCTTCTAGGTTTCTCTCCCTATCACTCCCTCATCTCCTCTGTTCCCTCCCCCTACATGACCATTTAGGTCTGCTCCAATCACCACTCTCTCTCTCCTGGGGATACTCTCTACCATCCAATCTAGCTCCTTCCAGAACTTCTCCTTTTCTTCCAGCTCACAGACCTCACCATTTATCCGGGCTTGAAGCACAGAAATGTGACGTCACTGCAGCAGGAAGTCCTGAGGCAAACGCACTGACCATAGAAACCAGTCACCTCAGTGTACGGTGTGAGTACAGTGTGAGTACAGTGTGTGTACAGTGTGTGTACAGTGTGTGTACAGTGTGTGTACAGCGGTGCAGTACCTGGAGGCAGCTCTCTTGTGTCCCAAACCCAGATCTCTACAGTAAAGTTTGGAGGTAGATCGTTCTGGAACCTAAGAGAAGAAAAGTTCATCAGTTCAACCACAGATGATGAAACAAACAGTACCAGGTTCCTGGGGTCAAAGACCTTCATCCTGATCTTTGAGCAGGGACACTGACAAACTTAAAGAAGGTCCAGTGGCACCGACAGGCGTCAGCTGACAGTCAGTGACCCCTACTGGCTGTTTATGTGAACTGCCACCTGCTGTAGTGACGTCACCTGAGCCGATCATCGTGACATCATCGTGACATCATCGTGACATTTCTTTTCTAATGTGTTTCAAGCCTGGGGTTTCTAGACGCCAGCTGGTGACCTTTAACCTCTGGGTCACAGGGGTCAGATACAAAGGAAGACACACCCAACGTCGTCGGCCTCTGTCAGTGGTGATCACACACACACACGGGGTCAGTACCGTGACCCCCCCCCGCGCCCCCCGTGGTACTCACTTCAGGTGTCCCCAGAAGACATCGTCACCCAGGGACATGGGGGACAGCGGGGACAAGGGTGAGAGGGCCATATCTGACATGGAGCTGCTGTGGGGGGTGTCACGGCTGGAGCGCAGGTTGGCATTCTGGGGAAACGATGCATCGTGGGTCGGTGAAAAAATCCAAACAAAGAGGTGACATTCTCATTGGTTGAAATAAAAAAAGAATCACGCATCAACTGTGTGTTTGTGGTGAATATACTGATGACCTGATGACCTGTGACCTCTGAAGGTCACATGAGGTCAGGTCACCAGGAGAACTTCATTGAAATCAGTTTGAAGACTTGGAGCCAGATACACACCTGACTGAGGTACGCCCTCTGCAGGGCTGGAGTACAAGGACTGGAGCTGCTCCCAGACCCCAGCCTGGACTGGACCTGGCTGGGAAGACCAGCAGCCAGGAGCAGCCTGGCCAAGTTGGACTCCTGGAAGTCCATCTGCAACAGAACACACACTGATGAGCGCCCCCCAGTGGTCGTTTGGATCACCAACAAAAACGTCCTGGAAATCACACTGTGCCACCGTCGGAGGAAGAACCGACCGTAGTTGAACCTCCTCCAGGTTATCTATGTTATCTACATCTATGACACTGACAGACAGGAAGTTGGACAGAGCAAAACTGACCGGAGCAGTCAGTGGGGGGTGGGGGTGGGGTGGGGTCAGCAGAGGCTTTACCACAGAGCGCTGGCTGTCGGCAGGACGACTGGACAACGAAGCAGCCACCGCAGAA